GTTGTTTCTTTCACAATGTATATATACCATTATACAGATTAAATAAAGAGATGATGTTTACCTACAAAAAAAAAAAAAAAAAAAAAATTATTATCTTTATTATATTTTTGTTCTTATATTTTAATTTTTTTTTTTGAAATTTATTTTTATATATTATTTTTTGATTTTAATATTAGGATAGAGTTGTAAAATCTAACTGAAACAATAATATTTCAATTGTTTATATTAATTTATTTAATAGTATTTAAAATATAATATATATTGAATAAATTAAACCATTGAGAATTGAATATTATTTTTATCAAAAGTTTTGAAGTTTGTCAGATAAGGAACTAAAAGTTTCGATATATTAAATTATAAAATTTTTATTTTCTTTTGATTTTTGTTAATATTTTTTTGAATATATTTTTTTTATTTTGTTTCTATTTTCTTGTATTTTATATAAACAAATTATTTATTGCAAGTTTAAATTGATACAATCTTATTTTGCTTTTTCAAAATAGTAATAATGAGAAAAAAATTATTTATTTATTATTTTTTTTATGTTTTTTTTCTTTTTCTTTTATTTTTATTATAGTAAAATAGATATTAGATGTCAAATATTTATTGATATATAGTATATATCTATCTATCAAACATCATCTGTAATTCTAGACTATAGTTAAATGTTAACCTATCCTACTTTTATTATTCCAGCAATATTAATAATATTCTTGAAGTAGGTTTATATTTTTGGGAAATCTATCTAGAGAATGGAAATCCCATTATTAGTTTTAAACCATTTAACTTATTGGTTCAATTTTTTGTGCAAAAGCAGTAAATATTGCTAACTATTTCTTAAGCTACTTATTACTTTTATATTTTTTTTTTAAATTTATTATATTTAAATATAATTTAGAATAGCTTGTTATATATTCAAAATATGATAATATATTAATTACTTTTGTTAATAATTCAGATTTTAATAAAAAACTTTCAATTGAATTTTTTATACTTGTAATTTTATCATTTTTTAATTTAGTCAAATAATAAAATAAAAAATAATTCTAATTTTAAAGTTTTTTAAATGTCTTAGAATTAGAATTTTTTGATTTTAATATATTATAAAACATTAAATAAAATAGTTTTAAATTATTTTGTTTCAATATATCAATAAATTGATTTGAATCTGTATGTGATGGATTTTTTTTAATATATTGTTAATTATATAATAAATTTGTTAAATTTGTAATATTATCATTAAAAAATTTAGAAAAGATTTTATATTTGAATTTTGTTGAACATATTTTTAAATTTTTTTTTAAATTTTAAATTTTAATATTATGATTATATTTAAAATTTTTAATTTTAATATTATAATTATTTTTTAAATCTGAAATAATTATTTTTTAATATTAATAATAATTATTTTTAATATTAAAATTTCTTTATTATAATTATTTTTTTAAATTTGAAAATTTATTATAATAATTATTTTGTAATATTAAAATTTCTTTATTATGATTATTTTTTAAATTTGAAATTTTATTATAATAATTATTTTGTAATATTAAAATTTTTGCATTATAATTATTTTTTAAATTTGAAATTTCAATATAATAATTATTTTGTAATGTTAAAATTTTTGCATTATAATAATCTTTTAAATTTTAAATTTCAATATTATTATAATTATCTTGTGAAATTAGAATTTTTGTGTTTTTGATATTTTTGATATTTTTCATTTCATTTATATATAAATTTGAATATTTTTTAGATTTTTAATTTTATTTTCTAATTCTTGTATATTTTGAATTAGATTATGATATGTTTTGTGGATTATTAGAAATATAAGATTGTGAATTCATTTTATTAAAAATTAAATTGTTTTTTTAAAAAAAAAAATATGTATTTTTTGTTGTTGATAATATATAATATAATTAAATGGATCAACTTTGCTGACTTTAAAAAAAAGGAAATAAATTAAAAATAATAAAAAATCATTTTATTTAAATACTTTTTTTAATATTATAAATTATTATAAATTTTATTTTATAAACTCCAAATTATTTAATTCATTATATATACCCGAATTATTTAATTTTGTTATATAAACTCCGAAGTTCGATCTTTAAATCCAATTTATTATAGAACCGCAGATCACGATTTATATATAGTCGAAAATTTCACTCCACATGCGCCATGTGCATATCTGTACCAATGCGGTAGGGACACTGTACTAGTGGCGCAAGGGTGACGCAAGGGAATGCATTTCATGCGACCGAAAATAGAAAAAAAAACTCTGCTGATTAAGACACCTATTGTAAAACAATGACACTTCGTGCCTGTACTAGCTTCGTTAATTGTACGACCTATTAATGTTACTAAACTATTCGTTTTTAAATTTAATGTATAACTTGTCGGATTCGCTGGCTAAAGATTGTTTTTTGGGTGAAAAATAAGTTTCCCGAATATAATTAATTTTGAAGTGATTCGGTTTCATGATATCTTCGGAATGTAGAAGTTTGGGAATCGTGTTTTTTCTTGAATTCTGGGACAAATATTTTGCTTTTTTAATGACTTGCTCCTATTTTCCATCGAGTTTTGTAAGTATTTTTATAATCATGGAATGCAGAACTTTGGATTCACCTACCTTAAAATAATACAAAACTTCTAGCGTCTGTCTTAAAACATCAATACCACAAATTTGAGCAGGAAACTCAAAGGCTGGTCCATCAAATCCAAAATAAAGTCCTTCGTCCAATAAATCAACACCAATTAGTTGCCCTTCCAGCGCTAAAGAATATAATGATTAAAGATGTGAAAACGATGAATTATAGGAAACGCGTATAATGTATGATATTCAATGTGATCATACCTGCCAGCTGTAATCCAAAAATTGTTGTATTTTCTAAAGCTTCACCTGGAAGATCGTTCTCGAGATATTTGTTAAGTATACACTTGTTAGTTCTAAAAGATTTACTTCGATCTTTTAGAATTTTTATCATTGTAGCTTTTTGAGCACATTCAGAATGGCTCAACTCTTTTGTGCCATCCTCAGTTCTTATACAGAGGTCTATTTTTCTTTTTGAATTATTTGTCACTTGTGAAACGGTCTCTCCCCTGAAAATTTATAAATGAATCTGTTAGTCTGCAATTGACAATAACTTCAAAATTAATAAAATACTTACCACATAAGCTTTACAAGGCTTTGACAATCAGAAAATATTATTTCCAATATAGGGTCCACCATTTTTATCACATATTGTATTTCTGTGTGTTTTTGTGGTTGGCCATTCTTTCTTACAAATAAATACGGATTTTCTAAGAACAAATCCAAGCTAATAAGTTTAAACTTAATTAGTAAATAGCGAGACAAAAAAATCCAAGTAATTTAAAGAAAGTAAATAACATACACATAGAAATACACTTTTAAAATTTGTCTAAATCTAATATCGGTGGGTCGTTCAACCATTTTTTCTAATAATAATTTTCTTGCCCCCAAATAGTCATGCGAAGTACAAAACTGAGCATAGTGAAAGGTGTAAAAGAGTTAGTACCGCTAGTAATGTGATGGTTTTCAAAAGGGTAGTACAGCCAATATACATTTTCAACTTTTGTAATAAACTCTAATACTTCGCCAGAAAACTTTTCAACTGTTAAGTTAATTTTTGATAGCGCTTTGGTCTTTAATGGGATCCAATCATCACTAAACCAAGAGTGCATGCCCTGTTCAAACTCTGATGAAAGATCTATGATAGACGACAGTCCCAACCTGTACATACGTTTATAAAATGTTTAGTAAATTACAAAAAAATAATATAATAATTGTTACTATGTTTTACCATATAATGCTCATCATTTTTGAATCTACTTTTTCGGATTGTTTCATTTCTTCAATCGCTCTTCTTGTCATATTTATAAGCCGACTTCTTACACTTTCATTATTTTTTAATTTCCAATTATAATTTTTGTTATCAGTTTTTGAACCAACAAAAGAATTAAATGATATGTCTGCAAGTTCAACTGTATCTTCTTCATCAGAACTGCCATCTAAAGAATCTTCTTCATCTTCGTCCTCATAGATAGATGATATCCCTGATATCCCTGATATCCCGGAATTTAATTCGTCCTGTAAAAATTTTAGGTTAAATGTAGAAACAGCAATTTATTAATCAGATCCATAATGTAATGTTTTTTATCGCTTACATTCGTCTGCTCGCTCTGATAATCTAAATCTAGTTCATCAGCTACCACCTGGTTTTCTGGTGTTTGTGGTGCTGGTGTAGTGTCTTTGCATTTTTTGACAGCATTTTTTTCAGAATCCTCGTCCTGAAAGTATTAAAGCAAATAATTAATTTTGTAGAATTCTTCTCAACTTATTGTAGAAATGCTCACCAGTACATCTTCCTGATTTCTTTTCTTAGAATTTTGCAGAAAAAAATCACGTGCTATAATGGAACGAGCTCCCTGTGAACGTTCAACATATTCTTCGGAAGAGATAACTACAGCCTGAGCCTGTAATTGTTTGACCGCGACTTCCCGTTTTTTCTCGATATTTTCCTGAATGCATTGATGAGTCAATTTTCGTTACTTGTATGTAAACTATACTTTGAAACTTACAATGGTTCGGGAAAGAAATCTTGAGTCCTTCTTTAATTTTTTCTTCATTACGCTAATGATTTGTTTGATTTGTTTACGCGTTGGACTCATGATTATCATCTTTATCACGTTATTAGGGAAGCCAGATATATGTGCTGGCCAATCAAAAATATGCCAAAAGTTAAAGTTTTTGATCGCTCTTCTTATGTACACTAGCCAATCATGTTGCGCCGTTTTAGCTAATAATCGACTTTCTTATTTATAGATAACGGTTTAAACTCTGATCCTGGAGTTGAGATTCTTCACAAGACACCGTATCCCTTTTTCGTAGGGCAAGTAATCTGAATCCAAGTTAATTTGGTTCATTAAAGACGAACGCTGGATGCCATGCGAGATCATGGTTATCCTAATAAAAAAGGGGTGTACGGACGCTGTCCCTCTCGTAGGACAAGTAAACTTGATACCCAGAAGTATCATGAAGAAAGTTGGATGCAATATTTTTTTGTTATCCTAATAGGCGGGACGCGTAGTCTTGTAACCATATTTAACGTATACTCCGAACACTAGCACTTACACGGAATACGAAGGTTATATTTATTATATTTTACTTTGGAGAATGGCACTTTTTGGTTCTATTAACAGCAATAATAATTATTTACATATTATTAAATCATAAATCGTGGAGTAGAGAGGTTGGATTGATCAAATCTTGCAACCAGAAATAATCAAAAACTTTATTTTCAGCGAAAGTTCCGAACACGCAATTAAGGTATGCTTCATTTGTGACAATGCATTCTAATGTGCCATCTTCTGGACTTGCAAACTTATGATCACTCTTTCATACAGATTTCCGAGAAGTTTATTAACATTGCAAAAGGCAGGCAATATAAACTTTCAACCTTCTTCTCTAGAGTTCGAAAAAGATAAGGGACAATCTAGTTTAGATAATTTATACTGTAGGAAAATAGTTTAGATAATTTATACTGTAGGCAAATAGTATAGAAACAATAGACTTTCTTTTCGATTTCAATTTTAGAATATAAACAACTCGAAAGCTCCTTCCATACAAATAAAAAGCGGACAGCAGAACAAGCATTCAATGATGAAGGATATGATTATCTCTACAGTATCATTTCCTCTGGCGTCGATTGGCATTCTCTTATGTTCGCATCAGATGAGTTATATTGTACTAGTAAAACCGAGTATCAAATAGATCTCACCAAAAAGGCATTTAAGGGTAATTAGGAAAATTTGAGAGATGATATAAAACAGGTAATCGATATAATTGTGGGTTATTGAAAGATAGGATTTCCGCCTGTGATGAACCTGAAAGCAAGAGGCGTCGCGTGCAAGAAATAGCCGGTAGATAGTTTCACATATTTTTTCATGTACACGTATTATTTTTATTTACATTAATAAAGTCGACCAAGAAGGTCATTTTTCCTATATTAAGGGTAGTAAGGGTATTTTCATATACAGTGTATAATCTAGTCTAATCAATGTATATAGTAGAATAGTGATTATTAAAATAATAAAAAAATTTTTTATGATAAAATTATTGAAAATTCACTGTTGCAGGATTTTTGAGTTTTTTATAAAAATAAAAAATTTTATTTATTGAAAAAAATTAATACAAAAAAATATACAAATATATTTAAACTATATTATCATCTTGTATATCCATATTTTGCCTTAATAACATCATATATTCTATTTGTCATTGTTTCTATAAATTCTTTACAAAAAATTTTTTTTTCTGATATTCATTTCATACCTTTAATAAGTTATTTCAAAGTATTTCTTTGTCTATAATATTAATCTCCAAGTCATTAATTTTTTTTTTCCATTATTTCAGATATAAACTATAGGATTTAAATCTGGTGATTTAATCTTTTTATTTTTTAATCATCTTTGAACAATTTTTGCTCTATACTTAAAATTATTGTTATATTGAAATATAATTTCCTTTGAATCTAAATTATAATAATTTAATAAATAGATCTATTCATCATTTAAAATTTTTTTTATTATTTTAATTACTATTTAGCTATATACATTAATTAGATTAGATTATATACTATATATATATTAATTTTATTATTATATGATCTGATCTAATTAAAATTTAAGTAATTTAAAATCAATAATTAAGTATTGTATTTTTTTTGAAAACCATTATAATAAAAAAATTTTAATACTTATATACAAATTATTTATTGTTCTAGTAAATATGAACATATATTTTACAGAATATATATTGAAAAAAAAATTCTTACACTTACAAATTAACTTTGATATACTTATCAACTATTACTTTAATATACTTACAAATACTATTCAGAAATATTTATATAAAATAATAATAATATTAATAAAAAATTTTTGCAATCTTAAATTGTTTAACCAATTTCAAATATTTTTATATTTATAGAATTTATACAGTTATTAAAGTTCAAAATTTTTAATTATATCAAAATAATAATCTCTTCAAATAAAATCAAAAATAATTGTAAAAAGAATTTGTTTTATAGATATATTTTTCAACTAGTTCAAATTTTAAGCTTCAATTCTGTCTTTATTATCATACTTTTAGTTTCATATATATTAATATACAGTATAAGCCCACAAGGAGCAAATATACAAAAATTTATCCTTTATTTGTGGGTTTATCAGTTTTCTTATAGATATCATACCCAAATATTCAAATCTTGTTCAAATTTAGTTAGGCTAAATGAAGATGGGATCTCTGATCTTTCTAATAATCATGAGCTAAAAACAGATCAAAGTAGGAAAAGTTGTATAAGGAAAGGTTTCTAGTCTAACTCTGATAATAAGTCTATATCCCCTTTTGGCATGGCAGTCTCCATAGCACAACATGTTAATACAAATAGAGAATTTTAAAAAGATCGTTAATGTGGATACTAATATATAATATAAGTGATAGGTCTACACTATCTATATGTTGGAATTGCACTCTGCTTAATATTTATGTCTCTAGATTTAATAGCTTAAACCAACCAAATTTCCTTGGAGTATCTATTAGAAGAAAAATAGTATCACACCTCACTTGGCATTTATGCCTCTAGATTTGATAGTTTGTGCTAATCAAAGATTACAATTTTAAAGTATCTATTAGAAAGTATATATACATGCGAGATCTTCATTCATAGTTACATAAGTTAAAAACATGAAGTAAAAAGATGATATATTAAAGTATTAATATATGTTCCTATAATAAGATCATATCTTAACCTTGGTGAAAAGAAACAATTGGAATGTCTCTAGATTGACTTGTATAAAAAGGTTATCTTGTATATCCTTTAATAAAAATGGACTAGCAGGTTAGATGGTTTAAACTAGTGGCAGGATTTTCACCTTCTATATAATTCTATCCAATATATGAACAATACACTTATAGTATAATTTAGTATAGTTGGATTATAGATGAATTAGGTAACAGTTAAACTTACAATTAGTAATAATATTAGTATGTATAAGACCATTTATATATATTGTGATCAAAATCCGTTTGATCCGTATCCGAGTGGTAGTTTTTAGAAGGAATCAGAGATTATATAGAACAGTCCGTCATCCTAGAGATAATCTCTCACAAATATTTCAAGGTACGTCAAAGATTTCCCAATGAATCTTTGTAACCAAAATGTGTTTAATAAATTAATAGTGTTTTATTAAGACACGAAACCAAAAAGTCAGACAATTACAAGAATGAGTTATCCAGAAACTAAGTGAAAATTAC